TCCTGCTTGCCAAAGCCCCATACAGTCTGACCGCCCCTTGCCCCTACACGTGGTAAGAGCTCGTAGTCACTGAGCACCTGCGGTATGTCAGGCGCTGAGCTCAGCCTCTACCTTTCCCCGCTCCAGGCACTCCAAGGACTCTACCAGGTGAGTACTGACAGCTGGCAGAGTCACAGATGTGTCAACTGAGGTTAGAGAAGACGCAGTACCGTCCTCAGTCTCCAAGCTAGTGAGTGACAAAGACAAGACGCAAACTCATGTCTGACTGATTTTAGAAGGCCCGTCTTGAAACCCGCACTGTGTTGTCTGCCTTCCAAACACCTCTTGAACTAGACGCCTTGCTGTATCCCTGCTGCTGTTAGGTGCTACTTACTGTCTGTCTCCTTCCCTCCCTCTCCCGGTGAGGTTCAGCCTCTCGCCTGCTCTCGCCTGTTCACCCTGAGTGCCTGCTGACAAGCAGCTGATTACCAAGCTCCCCATATTCTTTGTAAATGTGCAAAGGAGCATTTTTTTTAGCAATTTATTTGTCTTTCATTGTTCTCTGTAAGAGCTTACCTACTAGATACCCTCAAAGAACTTTCATTTTTTTCTCTAACTGGTTTATTTTTACTTTAAACTAAGTAAGATTGGTGACAATTACATTACATGCCATTGCTTAAGTAAATGCATTTTGTATCAGATCAGGAGAAGAAAAGAAGAAATGAGAAAGCCGAAGCTAAACTATGAAGTTGGCCAAATTTGACCTCTGGATTCTTAGAAGTTCTCCTACCTATCCAGGGTGAAACGATCCTCTTTTCGTTAGACAAGCCAACTTTTGGAAGGGTCTTTTATAACAGACATAATCCCCTGGTGTAACCTTTTCCAGAAGTACAGTGTATGTGACCTTTTTTTACCTTTTTCTTTTAATATGTTCTTTATTTTAAAGTTGTAGCTTGCTTTTTTTTATCCAAGCTGACTCCATCTTTTAATTCCAGGGTTTAAAACATTTACATTTAATTTGATTAGTGATATGCTTAGATTTTAGTTCTTACCTTGCTGTAGGTTTTTAAATTGTCCCATGTATTTTACCTTCCTTTTCACTTTTTTCTGCTTTCTTTCGGATTCACTACATTTAATGATTTCCTTTTATCTCCTTTGTTGTTCTATTGGCTAAACACTTTGTTTCATTATTTCAATAGTTGTTATAAGGTATATAATGCATTTCTTTAACTTATCACAGCCTACCACCAATTGTTAATGTCCTATTTCATGTATAGAATAAGATCTTTCAACTTTGTTATTTTTCCCCTCCTGGATGTTATGCTATCAGTGTCAAACATTTTATTTATAAATTTGTTATAACCCCCCAAAAACATAGCTATTGTTTTGTTTAAACAATCTAAATACACTTAAATAATAATAAATATGTCTTATTTATTTTACAGTTAACATTCCTGGTGTTCATTCTTTTGTATCAGCGTGAATGTCTATCTGGTATTATTTTCTTTTTGCCCAATAATATTCTTCAGTGTTTCTTACTATGTGGGTGTGCTGTTGTTGAATTCTTTCAGCTTTGTCTGACATCTTTGTTTCACATTCTTTTTAAAGATGTTTTCACTGGGTCTAAAATTTTATTTCGACTAGTCTTTAATATTTTTTTCAGAAAATTGAAGATGTTTCTTCACTATATTCTCACTTGTATTGTTTCTAGTGGGAATTATTCTGCCATCTTACTATTTATTTTTCTCTATAGAAATATGTCATTTCTTTCCAGATGTTTTTAAAAATTTCGCTTTTTTTCCTGATTTGGAAAAATGTGACTATGATGAGCTTTGGATATAGTTTTCTTCATGTTTTCTGTCCTTGAGGCTTGTTGAGAGATCTGTGGGTTTATAGTTTTCAGAAAATTTGAAAATTTTCTGCAAATCCACTCCCCCTCCTGCAGAGACTTTAATTACATGATTGTCCAATAAGTCACCATCTTTTCTCTACACTTTGAACATATGGGATACAGTTGTGACTCCTTTAATTCACTTTTCTGCCAACTATAGCATCTGCATCAGTTCTGTATTGGTCTTGATTGGTTGATTATTTTTCTTATTTTTAGCTGTTTTCCTGGTTCTTTGAATGCCTGGTAATCTCTGATTGGATATTAGATGTCATTAATTTTTTCTTATTTTTGCTATTTTTGTATTTCTATAAATATTTTTGGATTTGGCTCTGAACCACAGCTAAGCTACTTAGAATCAGATTTATTTCTCGCTTTTGTGATTTGTTAGGCAAATCCAAAGTAGTGCTCAATCTATGGTTAATTATCCTCTACTGAAGGAGAGCCTCCTGAATTCTATATTCAACGCCCCATTAGTTCTTACAGTTTTATTGGTGAGAAATGACACTATTCCTGATGGTATGTGAATGCTAGGTACTCTTGCTTTTAATTCTTTCAGCTGGTCATTGTCTTGGCCTAGAGTAGTTCACTCCCACACATGCACTGCTAATCAGTATGCTGAAAACTTAATGGAATCCATATGTAGATCTCTGGGTGGTGTTTTTTTTCTCTCTGTGCAGTCTTGAGCACTCAACATTTCCTACGCCATATCTATGGCTAGATGTCTTTAAACAAAACCTCTTCTTCCAATTTTCTGTGTAATTCTTAAAAGCATTTTAACTGCTGACTTCCTCAACACAACAAATCTTCACCCTCCACCCCCCAATCTGTCTTAACTTTTCCTATATGCTTCAAAGTATCTGATATTCACACCTATTAAGAAAGTCAATGCTATCTTATATAAGTATCTGTTCACTTGTCTGTCTCCCTTGAAGGGAATATAATTGATTTTTATATTGCTATATCCTCATTACATACTAGGAGTTAACAGTATTTCTTGTTGGATGAATGAGATAGAAATCTCAATCATGTCTATAACTCAGAGACTGAAGTGCAGTCCTGGAATCTGGGAGATTAATGAAAGAAACAGCTATATCTGGAAGTTTCAAACAAGATTCCAATGAGTTAGGTATCAGGTAAATGATTTAATTTCCTCTCCTAGGCTATTTGGGTTTACATACTAGTAATATCAAATATTAAATTAAAATAATATAGAGTATTTTATATTCAGTAGTAACTGAGAATTTTTTTAAAATCCCTCTCCTTTTACCAAAGTAGACATCTCTCTTTGACACAGTTGACTTGCATTTTATATGGGCTTTTAAATTGTGTAGGAAATTTTCCAAAAGGTCATTGCTCATAAAATAAGCCTTCACTCCAAGAGCTAGATTATTATACATGTGGAGGCTGAGGAAGTATGAGTAGGAAGCTCAGCAGAAATGGGGATTTTATAAGAGCCTCTCTGTCTCCTGACCAAGGCTATCCTTTAAGGCCTGGACTCTTGTTTATCAACTCCAGAGAACTGTTGATCTTTTTTATGATAATATAAGGACCATAGTTTTATTTCTTATTTTTATGTTTGCCTTGTATCCCATTTATTTTTATTTCTTGAAATTTTCTATTTTTTAGAATGCTCTGAAATTTTTGACAAAAATTGAATTTAGAGTAACTTTACTGTTTTCCCTGTAGCTGTTTCTAACTCTGTGAAACTCTGTTCTTTGTGCTCAGGATTCTCTCTTGAAAGGCTGACCTGCCTCCTTTCTCAGAACCTTAGCCTAGAAGCATTTTTTTGGCCACCATCTCCCAAGAGCATGTTCTCTTTCAAGGGCGAAGCTAATGATCATTAAAGGGCTTGGCCCTTGCTCTGTGGTGGGAAATAGCATTATTACCTTACTTGGTAGCTTGTGCTTTTTGCCATTCCTGGGAAACATCTTTTATAGTTGATTTGGGAAATGGAAACAAATTAAATGGATACAGATTTCAGGTAGTTTAAAGTCACTTTGTACAGAGTAAGAAAGGCTAATCTTCATATATACTCTCAATTCAGGAGTATGCCCCATACTGCAAGATACTCACTTGATTGTGGCTGTTTCTCAATTTGTTCAATATCATTAGGTGTGTTTAGTGGCAGATTCTGAAGTAGAAATCCAAACAGGTAATCAGTATAATACAATTTGCATGTAAGTCAGTTGTTTTTAGAGAAAAAATTAATTTAAAAAAGTGGTAGATCAATTTAAACCAAGTAAGTCTAACCCTCTATCCTGAGTTTAAATCCCTGACCCATTTTTGTCCCCTTGGACACAATATAGAAATTTGCATTGAATAAACATCTCCACCAAAATAAAAAATGAGTTAAGAATCACCTTCAGAGCTTAGAACAAAACCTTTCACAGTAACTGCCTCTCTTCACTAAAACAAGCTCACTTTATCCAGTGTATTTAATAACATCAATTTTTTTAATATTGTTTTTTTTTTAATCCTCACCTGAGAATATGTTTTTATTGAATTTTTAGAGAGAGAAGAGGGGAGGAGGAGAGAGAGAAAAACATCGATGTGAGAGAGAAACATCATCGGTTGTCTCTAGTATGTTCCCCGACCAGGATCAAACCCACAACCTAGGTGTGTGCTCTGACCTGGAATCGAACCCACCACCTTTTGGTGTACAGCATGACCCTCCAACCAACTAAGCCACCCAGCCAGGACTAATAGCATCAATTTTTATAAATCAGAGTATCTTTTACAAGTGAGAGGGCTGGGGGCAGTGGGTAAAAGCAAGCGCATCCCGTAATCTCCTCTCCCTTCATACCCGTTTATATAGTGCACACTTTCCCCATTTATATTTTTCTTAGGCACACACATTATTAGAGTTATGGAGCCAGAGTGGCCCTAGCAAGGACTGAGGGGGAGCTTTGTAGCACATTTCTGTAGTGATTGTGACAAGCTTTGATAAATCACCCAGCTGACAACTAAATTTATCTTGGAACAGAGAAGAGCAAGGAGGGGGAAGGCACTGCTGCTCTCCCCACCAGAAAGTCACCTCTGCACACAGGACACATTTCACCAGGAGCGCTGTGGGGGAACAGAATATATTGCTTATGTATAGCACCCTTTCTGGTTTTCTCTTTGTCCACAGAGACTGAAAGAATTAAAGCAACGGGAATTTGCTCGAAATGTAGCTTCCAAGTCATGGAAAGATGAGAAGAAACAAGAAAAAGCACTTAAACGGCTTCATCAGCTGGCCGAGCTCAGGCAACAGTCGGAATGGTAAGAGTTAGAGGTGTTTTCGGTTTTTCAAAACTCTCCAACCTCCGGGGAAATTTCAATGATAAATTTACCTGGTTCACTGCGGCAGCATAAACAAATTATAACTAATCAACAGATATGTCTGAGGGCAAGTGTTCCTAACAGTGAAAGGTTTATAGATTAATTAGTTTGGCATCTGATTTTTTCCCTTCCTAATATCATTAATTTAATGTGCTCTTTAATGAGATGATCCAAGAACGATCCAAATATACTAGCATGTATTATATCCAGTTGGTTTAAATGGACCTGTATAGCTTTTTCGTAATTAAGTTTTGTAGTAACAATCTTAAAAATCATAAGTAACAATGTATCATTTTGGGGAGGAAATAAATCTTCTGTACATTTCCCTATAAATACCTGAATCCATAATAAATGATACTACCATTACCTGGACAAATAAGATATAATTAATGCAGTTAAATTAGCCATTTAAATTGATAATTATAACAAGGCTACATTAACACATTCTCGCAGTTCAAAAATAGAAGTTTTACATAAGTCTGGAACTGCTGAATATTTCCAAGTAATGAGATTCTTACTTGAAACTCAATAAAATTTGCAGATTTTAATTTGTGTTCATATGAATCATAATGTTGCATGCTAATGTAGCTAATTAATGTAGTTGACAGCAACCTGGTGAATTGTGAAATTCATAACTTTGAGTGAAAAGCAATATACATGCTTAGTGAAATAAGCAGGTCAAAGAAAGACAAATACCATATGATTTCACTTATATGTGGAATCTAATGAACAAAATAAATAAACAAAATAGAAATAGATTCATAGATAAAGAAAACAAACATGGCTCTCAGAGGGGCAGGGGTGGAGGGCTGGGTGCAAAAGGTGAGGGGATTAAGTAAAGAACACACATACACAAAATACCCTCAGGACACAGACAACATGGTGATTATCGGAGGGAAAGGGGTGGGGCAGGCAGAAGAGGGTATAGGGGGATATATGGTGACGGAGGGACACTTGACAATGGGTAGTGAACACATAACACAGTGTACAGAGGATGCATTATAGAATCGTACACTTTAAACCTATATAATTTCATTAACCTATGTCACCCCAATATTCAATAAAAAAAGAAAGGCAATATACAATAAACTTGGGAGGGAATGACTCAATCATGGTACCATAAAATATTAGACCTCAAGTTTGATTATAAAAAATATTTATTTTTAGGATTAATTATGAGTAAAAACACAGTACTAAGCTTATATATATTCATGTATTTGTACATGAATTATCTTAGGTTAATTTAAGCTATGAAAATACATAAAATATAAGCATGTTAAAAATAAGAGAAATTTGGTAAGAAGGCAAAATAAAGGTTGGAAAAGCATGTATCCGGAGGTGTGAGGTTGATACAAACCCCATGCTATGAGGTCACAGGACCAGCACACACATTTCGTACTGAGCTTTTTACTTTAAAACACACTGAGGATCTTATAATATTTTATTCAAACCCAGTGTGAATAAGATATTAGACCATCCTTGTTAAAACGGAACTCAGAAGGAAACATCGAATGGTTATTATGGTACTTTGCAAGAAAAAAATATATAGGTTAGATGTTAATTCCTGGGTGATTAATTATGAGGTGCAATAAATCAGATTATAAAAGAAGGACAAGGCTCACTATAGTGAGACACCTCTTAGATAGGTCCTTTAAGAACATCCAATAGAAAATCCAAGTAGCCTTAATAAGCATAATTTTGGTTATTTTTTTTTAATATAAAAGTTGTCATACCTCTACATTTCTGCTCACTCATTCCATATTTTCTTTTGGGAGAAACAGACAATGGATCAGAAGAGCCTTCATAATGATGACGGTGATGGTGATGATCCTTTTGTTTAAAAGTTCTAAGTTTGCAGAGCTACCCATTGTCCTCCAAATTAAATCAAATTTAAAAATCACCCTATTGCGGTTACCTGTCCCTCTGGAAATCTTATTAACTAAACAATAACAACCTAAGCATAACCTCTATAGAGTAGGCAGGCCTAGATCCCCACCTCTTCATATTGTTAAGAAAACAGTAGGTGCTTAGATTTCTAGCAACAGAACTTGGGAGTAGGAAAATTATTTAATTTTTTTTTTTTTTTTTAGTACCCAGGATCTGCCTTCCAGATAATTTTCCTCTCTGCTTAAGCTGCTGCCTCAGGGCCTAAGGGAAGTCACTTAATAGAATTATTAAATATTTTCATTCTGGCAGCTGATTTGACAAATGAAAATAAGAAATAAAATTTTTTAAAAATCTGTATTACCCCTTTCCTGGACAACTTTCTTTGTCCTTTATTCTCATAATGAGGACTTCTGAGTAGATGATACAGATAACAGGAGGATTCTTTCATGACCCTATGGAAAAGACGTGTGAGTTTAATAGTAGTAGGAATATTTGTATGAGACTGATTTTTAAAATGATGGCAGAAACTGTTAATGGATCTTATAAAAGACAGCCTTTGGCCATCGCTTGGGTAGTTCAACCCAACTTGGTTTCTCAGACAGACCAGTTATTGTATGCAGAGAGGTTTAATCTGTTTGTGAACTTCTATATGTGTAAGTTTAAGTATAGTGCAGATATGGGTATTTTCCCAAATTTTAAAAGTTGTAGGACCATTCCCTGGCTGGTGTGGCTCAGTTGGTTGAGCATTGTCCCTGCACCAAAAGGTCGCCGGTTTGATTCCTGGTCAGGGCACAGGCCCAAGTAACGGGTTGAACCCTGGTCAGGGTGCATGCAGGAGGCAACCAATTGATGTTGTTTCTCACATCGATATTTCCTTCTCTCTTTCTCTGTCTCTCTCTCTCTTCCTCTCACCCTCTAAAATAAAAATCAATTAAAACATTAAAAAAAAAATTAGGACCACTGTTCTGAGAATATGAATTTCCTAATATAAGAGCTAAATAATGTGGAACATTAGGAAATTATATCATGTAAAGAAATCATCTTATTTTGATATGTTTTGTTTCCTGTTTGAAAAGTATATTTTTTGCACAACAAAGAATTAAATTACGTGTGTATTGAGTTGCCACAAATTATAATTTTCAGAGAACTATTGGAATGGACAATTCATTAATTGTCACATTTTTATTATAAACAAAAATAATTAATCAAAATCACAGACAGAAACTGAAGAAAATTCTAGAGGAAGAAGTGAAATCATAAGTGAGGATATAACTATAAAAATTAAACCTTTAATTATATTATGAGGCATAAACTTGTATTTAAATAATAGAATTTAAAACATCACAAAGATAGAAAGTTAGGATTTTCCAAAATAATAAAAATAAATTAGATTTAAGATAAAGGAAATTAAAGCTTATAAAGCAATGGGATCAAAAGTTTAAAGCACAAAATAAGAAGTGCAAAAGATTAATAATGAAGATAAAATGTTAAAATTCATGAAAAAATATAATAATAAGTGTACATTGGATGATAAAATAAACACAAAAATTAAGGACAGGGAAAGCCAAATATACAAAAACAATAAGAGCAAAGAGCTTTCAAAATGCTTAAAAGAATATAAAGGGAAGAAGCTTGCACATTAGAAAGATAAATGGTAAAATAAAACAGCAATAAAAAAAGAACATTTAGACTAATGTAAGTTAAAGCAAGAAAATGCACAAAACAGTACCAGCATATAATAAGCAAAAATATTATTAAGGAAAAATATATAGGAAAAATATAAAGATAGTAAAATATCTACATCATAACGGAATCAGGAGGAGTAGAATGATAATATTTATACACCAGGCTTTTGGAATAATTTCTGCTAAGTGTAGTGCAGATGATATCAGATTGAATGAGATTCTGGAGAAGTCAACTTAATACAAAAATATAGCTCCTACTTAATCCAAAGTGAGGCTACAAATATAGAAAAGAATCTCTTTGGTAGTTAGGCAAAATTCAGTGCTACAGAAGTTTCTGTACCTCATCCCTCTGTCCCCAGGCTGCAGGCACTTTAAAAGACCGAACTATAGTAAACCTCATGCTCCCTATTTTCCGTTATAAAATAACCCATACATCTTAGAATGTTTCTCTTCATTTCTCATGACAAAGATGTGTAAATACCTTCTCTAAAGGAAGTTTTTTAAAAGATTTTAAACAGGGGATTAATGTAATGAGTAAGAGGAAAGTGTTTATTACAAAAGAGTTACAGTAAATAAAAGAATGTAGTTTTATAAAATTTCAAAATTTAGAGGACAATCTGAAATTACTAAGGACTGAATAGTGGCTGAAATTTTTGTTTGTAAATTTAAATCCAGATAGGCATGGTAAACAACAGATTGGACATTGTAAAATTTTAATCGGTAAAATAGAAATTAAAAATAAGAAATTTGTTCTGAACTAGAGAAAAAGACTAGAGACCCTAGAGTACTGAGGGAAATAATAAGATCTGAAAATATATTCAGGAGAGTCAATAAAGTTAACACATAAATCCCAGGACAAGAAAACAGGAAGAGAGGACGCAATAATCAGAGAAATATGAGATGTTTCTGAGCTGAATAAAGTTGAATTGAAAGTGCCCAAAAGCACTGGCAAAAACTAACCGAAAGAAATCGATCTGTAACGATGGTCTGGTAAAGTATTATAGATATATGATTTATTATATAAAATAAATATAAAAGTATGGTCTATATAATAAATATAATAAAATATTACACTAATAAAAATGAAAAATTATAAAAATTTTACAATGCTCGAGCTGATGCATTTCAAAAATGAATAAAAGGAGGCTGATTAAATATGTCTCTGTAATATTAAATGCGTGGAAAATGAAGCAAAGCACATGAAATTTGGTGGACAAAAGAAATGGGAGTCCAGAGCTCCACGCTGATTGGCCAGATAGTCGTGCCTTAGGGGATAGGAAAGGCTTTCTCAGCTGAGGGCTCAGCATGCACTCTTCTTCATTAGAGTTTAACTACATGTGGGAAAGATAGCAAGTTGTTTTTTTAGTATTTTATACATCAGCAACCAATGACTAGATAAAAATAAAATAAAACTCTAAAATGGAAAAAAGCAAGCACACACACACATTGAAGCATGTGGAAAAAGAAAAAGAAAAGGGAAAGAAAAAAGAAAGGCGGCGAAAAGTAATCAGATAACTGATGAGACTTGTACTGTCTTCCCTCCATATGACCTTGCTTTGTAGTAGAGGTTCTACAGGTACAACATTAAGGAGATAATTTTAATTTAAAGAGTTGCATCTTTTATGTATCTTTCTGTTTCCCATTTTCTACCTGAATTACCAATTATGCTCAGTAAAATGAATAATCTTTTCAAAGCTGCCAAAAGAAAATATATATGTACAAAAGGCAGAAAGAAAATATTTTGGTGAGTAAGAAGCAAAGGAAAAGATTTCAAGGTAATTGAAGATATTGAGATCACTTGTAAATGTGTGTTACTTTATTATACATTTATTATAATTAGCCAAAATAGTGACAAGTCATAAGGAAAGAAGTAACCACCCCTCTTCAAAAGAAAGCAAATATAAAGGAATTTAGAAACTGAGGAAACAAAAATTATAAAATGCTAGAACTTATACAAAAAAAATTAAAGATATATTTTTATACCTTGGAAGTGACAACTCCATTTAATTTCTTATTTAATCTGAAAGTACTGATCGAAAAACTCTTTGTGAAAGAATGATAAATTTTTGTTCCAAAAACTGATGTGTTCTGGAGGATATATATTGTAACATAAATGCAATGCTTTATTTTCTTTTGCAGCCCTAGCATAAGATATTCACATGCTACTGATTTTTGCCAATTTTGAAAGAATACAGTTAAATGATGCAACTTAGAAATAGCCACTTTGAAACATAGGTATATACTGAGTTATAAGCACAGGAAAATGGTTATGTAGCAGTAGACAGAGTTCATAAATGTTAGGATAACCCATTGTAGAAACACTATGTAGAAACACTATGAAATGTTCACATACGGATATTGTTTCAAATCTAATGCCTAAATCATTTTCATATTTACTGTATTTACAGTGTTTCTGGAAATGGACCAGCATACAAAGCCCCCAGGGTAGCCATAGAAAAGCAACTCCAGCAAGGAATTTTCCCAGTTAAGAATGGAAGGAAAGTATCCTGCGTGAAGACTGCTCTTCTCCTTAAAGGAAAGAACCTCCCCAGGAGCATGTCTGACAAACAGCGGCCTACCACGCCAGGTCGACACCAGTTACAGACAGACAGACTTTATTTGTTTGGGAAGCGGGTACCACAAACATCTTCAGATCTCAGTAATGCAAATCACCGGACAGGAGTATCCTTTTCTTTTTCCAAAAAAGTGCACGTAAAATTAGAATCTTCAGCATCAGTTTTTAGTGAGAACACAGAAGAGACCCATGATTGCACCAAGTCACCCATCTATAAAACAAAACGAACTGTGGAGAAATGCAAGTGCCGCAGGTTTGCAAACGAGGGTACACACCTCACTGAGGGAGGAGATATAAACATCCCATCGAGCCACCTGGAAAGTGTTTTACACAATAGCTTCTCCCTAAGCTCTCAAATTCTGCAAGACAAAAATGACTCCATTGAAACATTAGAAGATTCGATTGGCATTCGTGCTTCACTCTCTGAGTCAAACATTCATCTTTCAGATATGGATTTTACTCCTTCCAAAAGAGAAAAAGAAACTAGAAAGACATTGAAGAACCTTTCAGAAAGCCGCATTAATCATGCATGCCAAGCAAATGCTTCCTCCAGCCCACCAAACGTTTACAAGCTCAGTGAAGCCAGGATATTTAAATGTCTGGATGAGTTTCCATCACTGGAGCCAAGTGAGCAAAACAATCCAGTGCATCTGAATTCCAGCTCCAGAAAGAAGGGAGAAAAATCCTTAGATGAAACAGAAAGAGTTAGCAAAAATGTGCAAAGGCTCCACAGAGAAGCATGTTCCCATGATGTGAAGTCCAAACCATTGCCTTATCTGCACGTACAAAGCAAGGATGGCCACACCACCCTCCAATGGCCTACAGAACTGCTGCTCTTTACAAAAACGGAGCCCTGTATCTCTTATGGCTGCAACCCATTATATTTTGATTTTAAGATTTCTCGGAACGCAAAGGATGGCCGTGATCCAGAGGACTTAAAAACAGAATTGATTAAGGAGCCCTTAGAAATGAAGACTAAAATAGAGAGCCAAGTCTCAGGTTTAATCAAAGACCAACAAAAATTGATCCAAGGAGATAATCAATCTCTGAAACCAAAGATGATGACAGCTAATCCAGATTGGGAAAATTCCCAGAGAAAATATAATTTGGGACACAGTGATTCTGAGCCAAACATGAGTAAACACAATTTTAGTGCCAGTAATTTAGAAATGAAAAATCCTGAAGTGCCTGCTTACCTTGATATCTCTCTGAAGAATTGTGTAGGAAACAATAATAGGAGTGATAATGAGCTGAAGGAAACTTTAAGGACCCACTGGCAAAGCTGCCGAAGGGTGGTTCTCAATGATGCAAACGAGGGCCTGTCTTTTGCTTCTTACATCCCTAGGACTAAAAAGCATAAACTGATTCCTTGTGATTCTCATTCAGATTTTGAAGACGCAAATCAGTTCACCTGGAATTCTAGTCCCTACACAGTAAGGGGTCACAGTGACCATGGGCAGGACTTCAGTGTGATTTTGAATAGTAACCACATCAGCATGACCAACAGGGTGCCCGACTGTAGAAACCGAAGTGACCAGAGAAGTCCTCCAAAGGTGTCTGTAGATAGACGTCCCAGCCCTTCAGACACATCCCCCGACAGCACATCCAGCTTGAGAAGTACTTCTTCAAGTCACAGGTCCAGTAGTCCTGGCAGAGGCAATTGGCTCTACTTTTGTCAAAGAGAACACAACTCAGTTAAAAGACACAAAGAGAAACGCCAAAAGCACAGCTGCTTCTGCTTGTCTGGTGAGCTAGCGAAGAGAGACTGCCTGCAGTCAGAAATGCAGAGAGATAGAAGCTGCAAATTGTGGGAATCGTTTAAAAATGAAAAATACTCAAAACGTAAATATGGTCACTGCAGAGAAAGATATAAACTGGGCAAAAATCAACAATTTTCAGGGCCAAAGTCCAGGAGAGGTACCCAGTGTAATACTAGCTCACAGGTTTTCTGTGCTGGGAATCGTGGAAAACCACCTGATTGCCAAGGACCCCAGCACGGCCAACCGGGCTCTTACTCAAGAGAGAGAATGTATTACTTAAATAAAAGCGAAAGAAGTCAACAATCTTTGCACAGCCCTCACCTTTGTGATCTGGGAAACGTAAAACCCGTGCAGTGTAAGTCTGGGAATATCAGCTGTCTTCTGAGGAGCTGTTCCAGCCACCCTTCAGAAACCACAGAGTTAAACGTTGCAAGAGGAGAGAAGACGGCGGTGACAGCCAAAAGCCTTTTAGAAAGAGTTCAAGCCAAGAAGTGTCAGAAGCAATCAGCTAATTTTGAGGTCTCTTCAAACAGTTGTAAAAATGAATCAGAGGCTCATTCACAGATCCAGTGCACAATTCAAATTACAGCACCAAGCTGTAACAGACCAGCATTGCCTTTGTCTGAAAAAATACAAACCCCAAGTAAAAGAAATAATGACAGAGGCGCTGCAATTCCAAGAACCCTTGAGAAAGACAAAGTCAACAGTTCACAGACAAATAACTTTACTGTTTTAGTAGACGCTGATTGTGATAACCGTCTTTCTAAAGGTATAATTCATATAGTAGCAGAGTCTCAGTCACCGAGCATGAAAAAGAACCCAACAATAGAACAGTCAAAACCTTTACCAAGTGAAGTCCAACCTTTTATTCAAAGCTGTGATGCAGTACCAAATGATTTCCCTGGTGCTTTTCCATCTAATAGATATCCTGGCGTTCCTGAGACCAAAGAAGACCAAATAAACCTAAACTCGCAGGATGTAAGCATGCATCCGAATCATGCAGAGGGGAATTTGGACCCTTACTATGACAGAACTATGCAGAAGCAAGACACAGCAGCAGATGAATTAGAGTTGTATCATAAATCTATCTCTCCCCCTTTAATTCAACAGCCAGTGACATTTTCTCCTGATGAAATAGATAAATATAAGCTCCTCCAGCTACAAGCCCAGCAGCATATGCAGAAACAGCTCCTATCAAAGCATCTCCGGGTGCTGCCTGCTGCGGGGCCGGCCACCTTCTCTGCAGCCTCAGCTGTGCAGACAGTCCCGGTTCACCAGCACGCTTCTTTCACCACCATCCACCACACGTTCCTGCAGCATTTTGCTGTTTCTGCTTCTATAAACTCCCAGGGCGGTCATCTCCCAATAGCTCACCTGCATCCCCTCTCACAGCCACATTTTACTCCATTCCCATTTTCCCCGCTGACTCCAGCCATCATCCCTGCACACCCCACTTTCATGGCGAGTCGCCCCCTACATTTGGTCACTGCAGCCCCCTTCCACCCATCTCACATAGCACTTCAGCCCCTGCCCCCGGCAGCATTCATCCCCACGTTGTTTGGCCCTCACTTAAACCCAGCCACAGCTTCTATCATCCACTTGAATCCTTTAATTCAACCAGTGTTTCAAGGTCAAGATCTTTGCCATCATTCTTGCTCCAGTCAGATGCAACAGTTAAATGGAGTGAAAGAGGCCTTAAACGTGTCAGCGCACTTGAACTGATATTAAAGCCTCTCTTGGGGATAAATGAAACAAATTGCCACTACCTACAAAATGATATATTTAAAGTGTTCTATCTGATTACTATCGGATTTAAATATTGGTGCCTATTCAAAATGTGACCAATATATAAATATGAACTGAAATTGCCAATATTGAAATAGGAACATTTTAAGAATTTCTTTTAACTTGCAAAAATAATAGGACAAATTTAAAACAATTTTATGGAAAGAGAGAGGGAAAAGTGTTAAAGATCCGTTTGAATGAATTCTCACATAATATTATAAAATGATAACAGAAAACATTCAGACAGATCATTAATACTACAAAGAAAATCAAATGGAACATAATACCATATGTTCCAGGTATTTGTTGAGTGAGTGAATGAATGAATGCACATTTGGTATTATTCATCAGATTATAATAAAAGGTCAGTAAAATGAACATTATTAAAAGTAATAATTTTTATGGTTAACTATTAACAAAGCTTTCAATCCGAATAATCTGTTTCAATCAATATAATCTATATTTTCATAGGAAATAAGAGAAGGCAAGAACTTTTTTGATTAATTTAGAGTAAGAACTACTACTCTTCAATGAAAAACCATCTTTACACAGATTACACTTGTAGTAGTGTCTGTGAAAAATTGCATTGTCTTTATTTCACACACAATAATTTTTGTAATTGTAAAAATCACCATCTAAAATTTAGAATGTTTGATTTTTGTATGAGAAAACATAAAAACTATCATTAGTATTTAATGGGAAATAAAATATACTCAGAATAACATTCAAATATGTTGGTCAATCTTTTAAATATTAAAGGGGCTAAATATTATATTTTCTTTATTCTCAGAAATGTTACCATGTTCAGCCAATATATGTATAAGTGGCAGGGTAAAGGTTTGGAAATGTCAGAATTTTTACATTCTCTTTACTGGAAAATATTAAAAAGTATTTGGCGTGTTTTATTCAACTGAGCTAGGTATTTGTAAAACACAGTGAATGATGATGAATGAAAATTCATTTCATTCATGAAAACTTACAAATGATTTTAAATATGCATTTAAAATGTTTTCAGGCTCACAGAATTTGCATTTCTTACATTTAGGTTTCTGAATGGCCCACAAGTTTACTTTGTTTTTTTATGTTCTTAAAGTGAAAGAAAAACTTGTATGACCGTACATTGCCCATAAGGTTTGGTTTCAGACAAAACTGAACTAAACAGAAATGGAGGTGATCAGTCATCCACCACCGTGTATTATGGTGCAAACTCTTCTACCACTAGAAGGTAACGGGCATCTCCTTCAACCTTGGCTTCACGGGAAGGAGAGCTATATTTACTGAAGATCTGTATGTCATATGTCGGGAGAGTCAGGCTAAGTACTTCATCCACATTATCTTATTTAAACTTCACAGTTGTATTTTTTTCTGAACAAACACTTTATTTTTAATATTTATTTTTCATTTAGCATTGACATAGAATATTATATTAGTTTCATGGGTACAACATAGTGATTAACATTTCTGTACCTTATGAAGTGCTCACCCCAATAAGCCTAGTAACCATCTGATACCATACATAGTGATTACAATATTGTTGATTATATTCCCTATGCCACACTTTTCATTCCATGACTGTTTTTATAACTGGCAATTTGTACCTCTTAGTCACTTCTCCTTTTTTACCCAGCCCCCTCACATCTGGCAGTCATCAATTTGTTTGTATCTATGAGTTTGTTTCAGTTTTGTTTGTTTGTTGTTTTTTAGATTGCACATATAAGTAAATCATCTGATTATTTCCTTCTCTGTTTGACTTATTTCCCTTAGCATAATACCCTCTAGGTCCATCCATGTTGTCTTGAATGTAAGATTCCTGTCTTTTTCATGGCTGAGTAATATTTCACTATCTTTATGTACCACCTCTTCTTTATCCATTTGTCTATTGATGGATACTTAAGTTGCGTCTATATCTTGGCTAATGTAAATAATGCTGCAATAAACATAGGAGTACATATATTCTTGTAAATTATAGTTTTGAGTTTCTTTAAACAAATACCCCAAAGTGCAATTTTTGGGTCATATAGTAGTTCTATTTTTAATTTTTTGAGGTGTTTCCATACTGTTTTCCACAGTGACTGTACCAATTTATAATCCTGACAATAGTGCACAGAGGTTTTTATTTTCTCCACATTCTCACCAACAATTGGTAGTTGATTTACCGATGGTAGCCATTCTGACAGATGTGAGGCGATATCACGTTGTTATTTTAATTTGCATTTCCCTGATGACTAGTGATATTGAGCATCTTTTCATATGTCTATTGCTCATCTCTATGTCCTCTTTGGAGAAATGTCTGTTCAGGTCCTTTGCCCATTTTTAAACTAGATTATTTATTATTTTGGTATTAAATTTTATGAATTCCTTATATATTTTGGATATTAACCCCTTATCAGATGTATCACTGGCAAACATATTCTTCTCTTCAGTAGAATGCCTTTTTGTGTTGATAGTGGTTTCTTTTGCTGTGCAAAAACTTTTTAGTTTGATGTAGTCCTATTTGTTTATTTTTTTGTTTGTTTCCTTTGCCTGAGGAGATATATTGAAAACAATATTACTAAGAGCAGTGTCAAAGAGTTTACTGTCAACCTTTTATTCTAGGAGTTTTGTGGTTTACAATTTTACATTTAAGTCTTCAATCCATTTTGAGTTTATTCTTGTATATGGTATAAGAATGTGGTCTAGTTCCATCGAAGAGACTGTCTTTACACCATTGTACCTATTTTGTCATAGGTTGACATATAGGGGTAGGTTTATTTCTGCGCTCTCTTTTCTGTTCCATTGATCTATGTGTCTGTTTTAATGCCAGTACCATGCTGTTTTGATTACTATAGCTTTGTAGCATAGTTTTATATCAGGTAGCATAATACCTCTAACTTTGTTCTTCTTTCTCAAAATTGCATTAGCTATCACAACTATTTTTTGAGATCATTGTTATCATCCCTCTGTGCAGATGTGGGAAATGAAATTGAAAAGTTAATTTCTTAGTACTTGGAGAATACTAGGAGAGAGCATCTCTGATGCTGGTGAGGCTAAGATGGAGAGAGTAAATAAGAGGGGGGGAGAGAGGGAAAGGGAGGGAGAGAGAGAGAGAGAATTTGAAATTTTAACATAAAAAGATGTAGTTTTCTAGATATTACCAGAAACCTGTGGAATGGGAATTTTCACTTGAATACGGCAGGAAAAAAAAATCTAGCTATCTAAAGGGAAGAGAAAAGTGGAGGAAAGGCATCAAGTAGCAAGAACTCAAAAAAAATGATTATAAAAGAACATTGATAACCTTTGAGTGAATTCAAAGGAAATAAAATAATAAAATATTTCTTATAAAAATAGATGACACATGTTCCAGCACATATAAAAGTAATGTGGATGACTATTCCCTAAAACAGATTACAAAGTTGACATAGAGCCAAGACAGAGTAATTATGGAGATCTCACTAGAAGTCCTATTAATTTTTATAATTGTCTTTGTGACAATTTAATCTCTCAGAAGGTTAGGCCAGAGAACCTCTACTTGGCACTTAATTTTAACTAACAAAGATAGATTGATACGAACTGATGTCATGGAAATGACTATCTTACATTATCAGTGATGAAAATGTTCACTAGATATACTATCTTAAACTACGGGAAAGCAGACTTCACCTTTTAAATAAAAGATAACTTGTACTCCAGGGTGGGTGATTGTAAAAGCTGTGGCATCACAAGAGGAAAACTATAATTATAAAAGATTCCAATGAGGTAGGAAAATGTAGTTCTTTAAACAATCCAACATAAATTGAAAAGGAAAATATTCAGAGTAATTGCTAAAGTGCCATACATCCATAAATAGTAACACAAAAGACATATATCAAAATGAACAGAGAGGATAATGTCTTTTTAATATCCCATTTAAAAAATCAAAAGAATTTGACCTTTTGCTTCTGATTATTGCTTACTGCTAGGGGTAAATAAGCTAATGAAAAAAATATAGTGTTACCTAAATCTTATTTCATTTTACTTTTTCTAGTAAAGAAAGTTCTTTAGTGTGGAAATCATAAAAACAACATGTATAAGAAATTTGGAACATATAGAGAAAAGTATTTCCTGGCCACTTCAAATGAACTTGAATCTTCACATTTAGAAGAATTTTACAAAAGTGGGCTTCATGACACAAATTGTCTGAGAAAACATTCAGAATAGAAGGAGTTAGGAAAACAAATCTCTATTTTTATAATGGGAGAAATATTGGATATAGATATTACTGACTTATAGATATAATTTTAAGAAGAATGGTTTAATGTAAAGGAAGAGACAATCACTGGTAACTATAACAGGTATACTAAAAACAAATAGTACAAAAATAAAAGTATTTTATTTGTCATTTATCTACTTTATTTTCTCATTCATTCAACAAATAATTATTAAGGGCAATGAGTTAGGCAATAACCTAATTGCTGGAGATATAATAATCAAATAATGCCATACTGTAGTTTAATTCTAGTTGAGTCATGAAGACAAAAAGCAGAACAGGCAAGTGAAGTATGTAATATATCAGATGATAAATACTGTTGAGGGAAATAAGTAGGAAAGGCAAGTAAAGGGGATTGAGGGGGAGTAGTGGGTAAAGTACAATTTTAAATCAAATAGTCAGGGGAAGCTTCACTGTGAAAGTTGTATTTTGGCAAAGACCTGAAGTAAGTGAGAGAGCGAGCATTCTAGGCTAAGAAAAGATCAGGTTTCAACAACCTATTGAGTGAGCTGCCATGTTCAAGACATAGCAGGAGAACACTGGCTTAGAAGGGGGCTTCAGGGGATGAATTACAGGAGATAAGTAATTTTGGAGCAAAATCATTTAGGATCTCATCAACCATTATCATGCCCAGCTTTTATTGTAAGATGAGAAGATATTGGATAATTTTGGCAGAGAATCAACATGATCTGTCTTGGTTTTATCAGGACCA